CCCCAATCTCAACCCTTATTTTCCCCCAACCTCCACCCTTATTTCCCCCATTTTTCCCCCAACCTCCACCCTTATTTCCCCCATTTTTCCCCCCAACCTCCCCCCTAATTTTCCTCCTTTCTCCCCCTCTCCCCACCAGAAATGCTCTCTCTGAAGAAATACTTCACGGAAGGCCTGATCCAGTTCACCATCCTGCTCAGCCTCCTCGGCGTGCGCCTGGACGTGGACACCTACCTGAATTCCCAACTCCCTCCCCTGCGGGAGATCATCCTGGGCCAGAGCTCTGCCTACACCCAGACCCAGTTCCACAACCTGCGCAACACCTTGGACGGATATGGCATCCACCCCAAAAGCGTCCAGCTGGACTCTTATTTCAGCGCCCGCCGCCTGCTCAGCCAGGTGAGGGCTCTGGACAGGCTGCAGGTGCCCAGCACCGAGGTCAGTGCCTGGTTGGTGCACAGAGATCCCGAAGGATCCGTGTCCGGAGGGCAGCCCGGAGCCGGGAGCGGGCTGCAGGATGCCGGAGCAGGTGATGGAGGAGTGAGGGAGAGCGGAGCTGAGCAGGGTTTTGGGGAAGAGCTGGAGGATTTAGGAGCTGTGGCAGCGCCTGTCAATGGAGATCTCACCAAAGAGGTAGGAAACGGATTATTTTTAATTTTTCTATAAATTTTTTATTATTTTTTTATTTTGTTTCAAGAGGTTTTTTGGCTTCCCGGCGAGCAGAACTTTGCGTTTGGAATGTCGCAATCCTGAATCTCAGCGCTCCGGGGGTAATTCCGGGGTGATTTCCCTTTTTGTCTGCTCCAAAGGAGCAGTGAAAGGAGGGGGAAGGAGCTGGGGGGGCCCCTCGTGACTCTGAGGATTGGGAAAGCGATCATTCCAGCCAGGAAATAAACAGGAGTGTTGGGAAAGAGCCCTGGCCCAGGTGTGGAGCAGGTGGTTGGGTTGCTGGGCTGGAGCCTGGCCAGGAGCTCATTCCTTGCTCGGTTTTCCTCCCCAAAATTCACTTCCTCACTCACTTTTCCTGCCCAGGAGCCTGTTCCTTGTTGTTTTCCTCCCCAAAATTCACTTCCTCACTCACTTTTCCTGCCCAGGAGTCTGTTCCTTGCTGTTTTCCTCCCCAAAATCAGTTCTTCACTCACTTTTCCTGCTCAGGAGCCTGTTCCTTGCTCAGTTTTATTCCCCAGAATTTGGCTCTTCACTGTTCTCCTCTCCAAAATCTGGTTCCTCCCTCGGTTTTCCTCCCCAAAATTTGGTTCCTCCCTCGGTTTTCCTCCCCAAAATCTGGTTCCTCCCTCGGTTTTTCTCCCCAAAATCCAGTTCCTCCCTCGGTTTTCCTCCCCAGCTGTCTGGCCAGAGCTGGGTTGGGAGGGGATTTGCTTTTTTTTGCTTTTCCTGCTTGAGCCACGAGCTTTGGGAAGGCTGGGATGCGATTCCAGGCCCTGGCAGCTTTTTGTCACTGCACATCCCGGCTTCCCTGGGCCTTGGGTCCTTGCAGGGTCGAGGAATTGGAGTGGTCAGTGCTGGTTCCAAGCCTTGGGTCCTTCCAGGGTCAAGGAATTGGGGGTGTCAGTGGTGATTCCACGGCCTCAGGTCCTCCCAGGGTTGTAGAACAGGGGTGTCAGTGGTGATTCCCAGCCTTGGGTCCTCCCAGGGTCAAGGAATTGGGGGTGTCAGTGCTGATCCCTGTGCCCAGGTCCTTGCAGGGTTATGGAATGGGGGTGTCAGTGGTGATCCCCGTGCCCAGGTCCTTGCAGGGTTATGGAATGGGGCTGTCAGTGGTGATTCCATGTACTCAGGTCCTTGCAGGGTTATGGAGTGGGGGTGTCAGTGCTGATCCCCGTGCCCAGGCCATGCCCAAGCCCTGCCTGGCTCCGGGCACGGCCAGCAGGGATCGGGATCGGGATCGGGGTGTGGGAATGGGTGTGGGGAGCGCCGCAGAGCCAGAGCTGGAAGCGCTGGAGGAGACTGGGAATGTCATCCCGCTTTTCCCTGCGGGTTTCCAGGGCTCTCCAGGGGGAAAATCCCGCTCGGGGATGGCAGCAGCGACCTTGGAGGTGCCAGAGGCCGAGCCTTGTGCTGGTCCCTGGTGATTCCCAGGGAGGCGATTCCCAGCTCGGGAATGGCGAGGGATCGGAAGGATCCTCGCCTTGTGCAAGGTCACTCCTGGAAGGTTCTGCTGCCCTTCCCGGATTTGGGATTCCCGGCTCTGGGGAGCTTTCCCGGTGCAGGGAAACCGGGATGAAATTTTGGGGGGATTCGGGAAGAGCGAACCCAGGAGCCGCCGTTTTCCAGCGGAAAGCGGGGCTGGGAATGAGCGAGGGCAGAGATCTGCGGCCGCTCCCGGCTTTTCCCACATCCCTGCTGGCTCTCGGGGGGCTCTGTTTTCCATGATTTTCCCCGGGCAGGAGGAGCAGAAGCCGCTGGCGCTCCAGGAAATCCCGTCTGGCTCCCACGTCACTCCCTCACCCCATCCCGGCTCCCTCCTCCCCCAACTCGCTGCTCCCACATTTCATTTTAGGGATTTATTTTTCGTTCTTTTATTTTTTTTTTTCTTTTTACGGTGGGATTTTTGATTTTTAATTTTTTTTTTCTTTTCACCCTGATTCCTTGGAAAACGCAGAACAGCCGCAAATCTTCCCAGCGGGAATAACATCCCAGGAGTCCCGCAGGGCTGTGAGCTCCCGGGCCGGGCGGGGATGGAGCTGCAGATGGCTCCAGGGCCCGGCTTGGAAATTTTTCCATGACTTTTCCTGGCACATTGCGACTCCCGGTGGGTTGTGCTCTGCCCAGGCGCGACCTTGCCGGGGGAATACGGGCGATATAAATAATTTTGGGAAGCTGGAACTCGCTCCGGGAATGCTGTGCGGGAATTTTTTTTTATTAATTATTTTAATTTTTTATTTTATTTTATTTTTTTTTTTTTTTTT